CTGAGCCACCCAGGCGCCCCACTTAATTTTTTTTTTTTTAATTTAAATTCAGTTAACCAACATAGAGTACATCATTAATTTTAGATGTAACGTTAGTTCAGTAATTTATAAGTTGTGTATAACACCCAGTGCTCATCACACCACCTGTCCTCCTTAATGCCCGTCAGTCATCCTGTTAATAATGTTCTAATTACATGCTGTCTTCTATGAGATGCCTGTTAGTCTTGTACTCAGTCTTCATTGGGTTATCATTTGTTGTTTTACATATAGTTCTTTAAAGAATTTTTTTTTAAAATTTAATTTTACTTTATTTTTGAGAGAGAGCAGGGAGTAGGGGCAGAGGGAGGAGGAGAGAATCCCAAGCAGGAGCCCAATGAGGGGCTTGATCTCACAACCCGGAGATATGACCTGAGCCAAAATCAAGAGTCAGACACTTAACTGACTGAGCCACCAAGGCGCCCCTACATATAGTTCTTTATGTTCTCTGAAGGCTGATCCTTGTCTGATATTGCACATGTATTCTCCCAGTTTCTAACTCCTTTTCTTTTGATGAGTAGAAGAAGCTGTTGATGTAATTGAACTTATCAGTCTTGTCCTTACTGGTTTGTGTCTATTTGTAATACAAGACTTTCTGTTCCAGCAACATTTATTGAAGGATCCATCCTTTCCTTGATGATACATACTTTATCTATCACTTAAAATTCCACCCATACCTGGATATATTTCTTTTTTCTTTTTCAAGATTTTATTTATTTGACAAAACAAGCAGGGGGGAGCAGCAGAGGTAGAGAGAGAAGCAGGCTCTCCACTGAACAGAGAGGCCAGTGCGGGGCTTGATCCCAGGACTCTGGGATCATGACCTGGACTGAAGGCAGATGCTCCACCTAATGAGCCACCCAGGGCCCCCCCCCTTTTTAAGATTTTATGTATTTATTTGATGGGGCAGGGGGTTGGATCTATTTGTAATGGTCTTGTGTACTTGAGTTACTTTGTATGATTCTGCACTAATAGCACAGCTGGTTTTATGCTAATTCTTGGTATCTGTAATAAAGCAAATTCTTCTGTTTTGTTCTTTTTCCTCAGGAATGCTTTGCTATTTACACCTTGCTCTTCTATATACATTTTAGAATTCTACTTACGAAGTTCTTTAAAAACCACAACTGGGTGTTTATTGAATCTATAAGATAGTTTGAGGAGAACTGACATTTTTATAACACTGAGTAGTTTCTTCCATGAATATCATATGCGCATTTACTTAGGTCTTTAGTAAAGACCATCTCCTTAAAGGTTTTGCAAGTCTTTATTATTAGTTTTTGTTTTTAAAGATTTTATCTGGGGCACCTGGGTGGCTCAGTCGGTTAAGCGACTGCCTTCGGCTCAGGTCATGATCCTGGAGCCCCATGATCGAGTCCCAAATCGGGCTCCCTGCTCAGTGATGAGTCTGCTTCTCCCTCTGATCGTCCCCCCCCTCATGCGCTCTTGCTCACTCATTCTCAAAGTCTTAAAAAAAAAAAAAAAATGTTGGGGAGCACGAGCTGGGAGAAGGGCAGAGGGAGAGGGAGAAGCAAGCAAGCAGGCTTCCCAATGAGCAGGGAGTGCTACGTGGGGCTCCATCCCAGGACCTGGAGGTCATGACCCAAGCCAAAAGCAGACGCTTAACTGCCTGAGCCGCCCAGCCCCAGTCTTCATTAGTTTTATTTTTTTAGATTTTTAGTTGTTATTGTGAATGGTCTTTTTCAAATGACATTTGTGGTGGTTACAACTATATAGAAATAGATTTGATTTTGGTAGAGCATAGGAGATGCATAATGAAGGTTTCTCTCTACTTGTGATGTATATAGTATGTTATTTATTCAGGTATGTGTGGGTTTTTTCCCCTGGTTAAGAAAGTAGCATATAGGGGCGCCTGGGTGGCTCAATTGGTTAAGCGACTGCCTTCAGCTCAGGTCATGATCTTGGAGTCCCTGGATCAAGTCCCGCATCAGGCTCCCTGCTTGTCGGGGAGTCTGCTTCTCCCTCTGACCCTCCCCCCTCTCATGTGCTTTCTCTCTCTCTCATTCTCTCTCTCTCTCAAATAAATAAAATCTTAAA